GCCTTCTTCGTAAGGTTGGTCAGTGGCTGGGCTATCTTCGAGAAGCCCTCGATAAACCTCCTGTAGTATCCTGTTAACCCCAGGCTACGAACATCTGCGACACTCCTTGGCGTATCCCATTTGCTCACCAGCTCGATCTTGCTGAGATCCACCTCAATGCCTCTAGCTGTCACAATGTGACCAAAGAATGCCACACGGTTCAGCCAGAACTCGCACTTCGAGAACTTAGCATACAACTTCTCGCGGCGAAGAGTCTCCAGCACAATCCTCAGATGCTCCTTGTGCTGATCGATATCTCGGGAGTAGACCAGAATGTCGTCGATGAACACAATGACGAACTGTTCCAGGAAAGGATGAAAGACCCTATTCATAAGGTCCATGATAATGGCCGGGGCATTACTAAGTCCGAAAGGCATGACCACGAACTCATAGTGGCCATATCGGGTACGGAAAGCAGTCTTGGAGATATCCGACTCCCGGATCTTCAACTGATGATAGCCAGATCGCAAATCAATCTTTGAGAAGACGCTGGCTCCTCTCAGCTGGTCGAAAAGGTCCTCGATACGGGGAAGGGGGTACTTGTTCTTGACTGTAAGGGCATTCAACTCCCGATAGTCAATGCACATGCGCATAAATCCGTCTTTCTTCTTTACAAATAGGACGGGCGCACCCCACGGCGAAACACTCGGACGAATGAAACCGAGCTTAAGCAACTCCTGGATCTGGGCCTTGAGCTCTTGAAGCTCCTTCGGCGCCATACGATAAGGGGCCTTAGAAACGGGGCCGGCTCCGGAAATTAGGTCAATAGTGAACTCCACCTGGCAGTCTGGCGGTCCTCCAGGTAAGTCATCAGGGAAGACATCGAGGTACTCGCATACGATAGATACTCGCTCAGGTACCCGCTCATCAACAACGTCGGATACCATGGAAACAAGATAGCCTTGACAGCTACCTTGGAAATGCTCTTCCTAGATTGCATAGAAGAGATGACCCGAGGCACAGTCCTCGAACTCACCACAAAGAACACAACCGGCTGATCGAAAACAGGATAAAGGGTGACTTCGCGCTCCTGGAACCGGATATCGGCTCGGTAACGGGTGAGCCAGTCCATGCCCAAGATCATGTCGAAGTCTCGCATATCAATAACATAAACGTCGGCCTCCAGAACTCGACCGCCAATACATATGGGAAGATTACGATCCACTGAATCAGAGATAATAATTTTTCCCGAGGCTAGACTAACCTCGAGAGGATCACAAGCATGCACGGTGCTAATAGATAAAGCTTCCAGGCAACGAGAAGAAATAAAAGAATGGGTAGCACCGGTATCACATAAAGCAAAGACAGGCACATGGGATATCGAAAGCATTCCGGACATGGTACCTGCATTGCGAGCGGACTCATCATGGGTGATGGTGTAGACACGGGCCTAACCCCCAGCCCTCTGCTGGAACGGTGGGGGCTGTTGTTGTTGATGATAGGGCGGCTGTTGCTGTTGCTGCTGTCTCTTTGGCTCACGGCAAACATTGGCATAGTGTCCCGGGCAGTTGCAGTTGAAACACGTGCGCTGGTTAGCTAGGCACTCACCGCTGTGGGATCTACCGCATTTCTGGCAGGCTTGGCCGGTGGAGGATCGATTGTCGCGCCTATCAAAATTACCCTTCTTGCCCTTCTTCTTGTTTTGGAAGTCGAACTTCCTCTTGCCCGAACTAGAGACGGACGGCACATATGAGATGGGCTGAGCGTACTGGGCAACGGTCTGAGAAGGCTGGGAGGCATGATAATAAGAAGGAACTGGAGTCAATGGAATAAGACAGCTCTCGACCTCCTGAGCCCTACTCACGATATCTGCATAAGGCATCTGTCCGTGACTTCCCACCAGCTCACGGATCCTCTGGTTGAGCCCCTTGAGGAACTTGCGGGCCTTCTTGGCATCGGTGTTCACGGCGTCGCCCGCAAAAAGGCACATGCGGGTGAAGGTGCGGATATACTCATCCACCGTGGAACTGCCCTGTTGCAAGTGGTAGAATTCATGCTCCATTTTGTCCCAAAAGCTTTGGGGGAGAAACTTGCTACGCACCATCATCTTCATTTGCTCCCAAGAGAGAGCCTGAAGCTCTGCCTTCGGCTTCCGAGCCTAGTGGTCAATCCACCAGTCGGAAGCGTCCTCCTTCATCTGATATGCTGCAAGGGACACTCGCTGACGGTCCGGGAGGGGAAGTACAGCGAAGATCTTGTCCAGTTCTTTGATCCACTCCAGCACAGCTGTGGGGTTTTCAGACCCCGCAAAGGTTGGTGCATTCATCCTCTGAAACTGAATGATAAGCTGAGTAAAGTCCATGGCCGGAGGGGCCTGGTGCTGCCGGGGCGGAGAAGGCTGCGGGATGGTTGACGATAACGGTTGTTGTTGCGAGTATTCATACTTCTACATTGTATAAGTCGAACAAGGTTTAGCACAAGAACAAACAAAATAATCAATACTTGCTGAAGTCTAGAGTTCGCCAAATAAACACTAGAGTTCGGTTAAATCAAGTTGGATAGATCCTAAGCCCCAAATCACAAGTTCATCACGAGTAGTTTCATTACTACAAGTACTTCATATACATAACAAGTATTTTCATTAATACTTTAAACAAAACATACCTTAAGCAGCGCGGAGTGACGAAGACGAGTTGTCATAACACAAGGTCTAAACACATATTAACATATTAAACCAGTCTACATAAATGCAGACTGGCTCTGATACAAAACTGTAACACCCCACTTTGATTTAAAGAAATTCCGGACTTTCCAAAAATCAATAGAAAAATTTTCGAGATCATTTTTGAAATTTAATGGGTGTTAAACAACATTTTCATAACCCAAGTCTTATCTGGGCTCACGAGGATTCATTACCCGGTTTTCACAAATGGTTTTCATTAACCAAACATACCACGAGGCACAATTCTTAACACGAATATATAATCAAACCATATTACCCAACATTAGGGTTCCATAATTTTTTCCAAAAACACACAAGTCATAAGTTCTGGAAAATAGTTTAGTCAAATCTCATCATAAAGGCTCATGAAACCTTATTATTCAAACGGAAGCAATAACAAGCATAAATAAATGACCGACCCACTCGCCTCTTCTCATCACCCAGCTCCTGCTTAACCTGCATCGGTGAAGAGCAGGTGGGGATGAGCACAAGATGAAAAGCGTGCTCACCACTATGCACATATATCACAATTTAATAATGAAGAGAAGGTATGATTAGAGTATGAACATAAAACAATATCTCTGTCACGTCTCCTAATCACAACACAACATAATACCCACGTGCACATCTTTCATTAGCCAAGGAAAGGGGATTCATTACCCTAACTCATGGGGGTACGTGCCATACGACAAGGCACGGCCTTTCATTATGTCTTATGGAGACTTACTTCGCAGGTAACCGTATTACATCGACGGGGACAACCGTGCCGACGGCCGAATCGGCTCACGCCGATAGGCTACATGGTTTACGTACATACTAAAGTCATACCACATCAACATTATAATAAACACATAAAGCATAGCAAATTTTAGATTAAAACCCACCTGGTATAGCAAAGGAATATGGCACACAACGGGAGTTTGCAGCGAGCACGGCACGTCAGACACCTACAATAATTATATACTAAGATCAACACCTACTTGACCTTAGAGAATAATCACAAGCATACATTGGTCGAACTTGATTCAACCAAGTAGTTCATGAAGTTCCGTTGATATTGGAACAGTTGGGTCCTACATCTAGACTTGACCAAAAAGCATATTAATAACACATATAGTCCTAGAACACTAAACGAAGTCAAACAGTTCAAAGGCACAAATAAGGGTTCGAGAAAAATTATAAGAAAAGCTTGGGTCGGGCCCCAGGCTGCTCGTTGGCATGGACGTGTACGGCTGGGAGCGACTGGTGGTGCGCACGGGCGCTGGACACTGTGCTGGGGGTGCTGGGTGCTGGGCTGCGGGCGCTGGGGCGCTGGGCCGCGGTGCTGGGGTGCTGGGGTGCTGGCGTGCGCTGGCATGCGCTGGGGCGCTGTGCGTGCGTGATGAAGACCGTGTGTCTCGATTGTCGACAAGCCGCTCCCGCGCCTTAAATCGTTCGATAGGTGTTAGGAAGTCGCACACTCGCAGCCTTTCTAACGAATAAAGTTGCAAAAGAATTCAAGAAGAAAACTAGAGCAAAGAGTTTGAACAAAAGTTCAGATTTTTTTGTATTGATTTCTGAATGATTAAATTAACAAGAGGAAGGGCCTTTATATAGGCATCAACTAGATCCAGTCCTAATATAACTATAACTCTAATAAAGCAATAAAATATTAAGTATCCTAAACAAACTAGAAAACAAGGAAATAAAATATTAATCAAGCTATTTAATTTATTTCTTGCTTGCGCCCCAAACCGCCTTCGCCCGCGTCCGCGTTGCCTAATCGCTCAAGGACTGGGGCTTCATCTTCCATTTCCGCGCACGCTTCCAGCAGCTCGCCTAATCCTCGCACGCCTAGGCAAGTTCGCGCGTGCACCCCGTCGCCTGCGCGTTCAGCCCCGCGCTCGGCCCCGATAATATCGAGCGCGTCATCTTCCGCGTGCGCTTGTCCATCCGCGTATCGCGCCTCTCCGGAACGACGACTTAGCCTCCTTCGCGCATGCCACGCACGACTCGCTGCATTCTTGAGCCTTCTCGCCGTGTCCGCATCATTCCTGTCCCCTTCAAGTGCTTCTTTGTCCTCAAGGAAAAAATCGGGGAACAGTTCGCGCATCTTGTCCCAACTTTGCCATGTCGCTTCCTCACTCAGCAAGTCCTCCCATTCGACGAGCACCTCCCAAAAATATTTTCCAGCCTTTTTGACTTGTCGGTACTCCATCGCGCGGCTTGGCCGCACCATAACCTGCCCGTCCGGCGCGACCGCAGGTAGTCGATCCTTTGCCGTATGCGTCTCGCCGAGTCGTTACTTGAGTTGTGAGACGTGTATGACCGGATGGATATGGGAATCGTCCGGCAACTCAAGTCGATAAGCAACCTTCCCAACCTTGGCCAAAATTTTATAAGGCCCGTAATATCGAACTCCGAGCTTGGTCGCGGCCCTTTGTGCGGCCGTCCTTTGCCGAAACGGCCTCAACTTCAAGTATACCCAGTCCCCAGGCTCAAACTCTACGTCGCGCCGCTTGCCATCATGGTACGCCTTCATCCTATTGATCGAGCCTTCCAACGTCTGGTTTAGCTTGCGCAACATCAAGTCACACTCGACCAACTCTCGATCGACCTCATCGTTCACGGCGCTTCCCATCGAGTAACTCACGATTGTCGGCGGTTTGCGCCCGTACACCAACTCGAACGGCGTGGCCTTAGTTGAGCTATGGTAAGTGGTGTTATACCAATACTCGGCCCAAGGTAAATAATTCTCCCATCGCTTTGGAAATTGATGCACATAGCACCTAAGGTACTGCTCGAGCGTGCGATTGGTCACCCCTGTCGCACGGTTTGCGGATGATAAGCTGAGCTCATGCTTAGCTCGGTTCCCTGCAACTTAAAGAACTCCAACCAAAAGCTACTCATAAATATCCGATCTCGGTCGGACACAATTGACC